TTTGAGCGTTTACGAGGCACGGCTCCTCCGCCCGCGGCTCCTGTGGGACCCCCATCACCCAGTGGGCCCCTGCACCTTCCTCACCCCCTCACCACGGCCTCTCCTGTCTCGTTCTCCGCAGCCTAGGCGCTGGCTCACAGCTTGCCCACCCGCCCACCCGATTCTGCCTCCGTCCAGGGCCCACAGCCTCCTCCTCCTCCTCCTCCTGGCAGCCCACCTGGCTTCCGTGGCTCCCCTGCCTGACTTCGCTGCTTCCCAAGTCAGCAGGTAAGTGATGCCAGAGGGGCGGGGAGTCATGCACTGCCGGGCCTGATCCTGCCCCCTTTCCCAGTGCACACAGCCTGTTCCCTCCAGCCTCACCTTGGCTGCCCTGGGCTGTGACTCAGTCTACCAGTGTAGGGTAGCTCCTGCCCATTTTCTTGCTTTTCAAAAAATATCTTTTAATATTGATTTCAGAGAGGAAGGGAGAGGGAGAGAGAGACAGAAACATCAGTGATGAGAGAGAACCCTTGATCGGCTGCCTCCTGCACGCCCCACACCAGGGATCGAGCCCACAACCCGGGCATGTGCCCTGAATGGGAATCCAACCCTGACCTCCTGGTTCATAGGTTGACGCTCAACCCCGGAGCCATCCGGGCAGGTTGCTCCTAACCATTTTCTAGGGGTGAAGTTCTCCATTTTAGGGGTGTTTTGGTCTCCAGTTTCTGCAGGAGGAAACTGAGGCCCGGGAGGCCCTTGTTTGGAGGGCCCACTGCCTGTGGGTCTGGGGTAGCTGCAGAGGGCGGGCAAGCAGGTGCCAGCTGCTCCATCCCCCTCAGCAAGTGCTGGGAAGTGGCCCACAGCAGGCAGGGACTGCCACCCAGTGGCCATCCGTGGTCAGGCCCCAGGCTGGTGTGATCTCCTGCCTCCTGCACGCCTCACGTCGGGGATGGAGCCCACAACCAGGACCTGTGCCCTGACGGGGGTGGAACCGTGACCCCCCCCCCACTCTTCTCCCTGCTGGCCGAGTGACCCTGCAGACGTCCCCACTGCCCTGGGGGTCGGGTTCCCTCTCTGTGTGTAAAACGGGGTCCACCCTTCGCCCCGCCTCATCACAGTGTTCAGTGCCGCTGGGTTCGCCGTGTGCGGCTCAGTCTGTACGGCCACCGATGTGGCTCCCAAATGTTTATAACCCAGACAACCTTAGGAGGTACCGGGGTCTCCAAAGTGGGGCTGTGTACCCCAGCTGGTGAGCAAATGAGCAAAACCATCCGCTGGGGTGTGGGAAGAAAATATTAGACCCTCTGAGTATATATTCTTTAATCTCATCCTCTTAAAATCCTATTTCTGTATTTGTTTTTTTTTTTTTTAAGTTCTACATTAATATTGTCTCATTTATTTATTTATTTATTTTTATTTTTTTTTAATTAAATCTTTATTGTTCAGATTATTACATTTGTTCCTCTTTTTTTTCCCCCCCATAACTCCCCTCCTCCCAGTTCCCGCCCCACCCTCCGCCCTCACTCCCCACCCACTGTCCTCATCCATAGGTGCACGAGTTTTGTCCAGTCTCTTCCCGAATCTCCCACACCCCTTTCCCCCCCAGGAATAGTCAGTCCATTCCCTTTCTATGTCCCTGATTCTATTATAATCAACAGTTCATTCTGTTCATCAGATTATTTATTCACTTGATTCTTAGATTCACTTGTTGATAGATGCATGTTTGTTGTTCATAATTTGTATCTTTACCTTTTTCTTCCTCTTCCTCTTCTTAAAGAATACCTTTCAGCATTTCATATAATCCTGGTTTGGTGGTGATGAACTCCTTTAGCTTTTCCTTATCTGTGAAGCTCTTTATCTGACCTTCAGTTCTGAATGATAGCTTTGCTGGATAAAGTAATCTTGGTTGTAGGTTCTTGGTATTCATCACTTTGAATATTTCTTGCCACTCCCTTCTGGCCTGCAAAGTTTCTGTTGAGAAATCAGCTGACAGTCGTATGGGTATTCCCTTGTAGGTAACTGAGTTTCTTTCTCTTGCTGTTTTTAAGATTCTCTCTTTATCTTTTGCTCTTGGCATTTTAATTATGATGTGTCTTGGTGTGGTCCTCTTTGGATTCCTTTTGTTTGGGGTTCTCCGCGCTTCTTGCACCTGTAAGTCCATTTCTTTCACCAGGTGGGGGAAGTTTTCTGTCATTATTTCTTCAAATAGGTTTTCAATATCTTGCTCTCTCTCATCTTCTGGCACCCCTATAATTCTGATGTTGGTACGCTTGAAGCTGTCCCAGAGGCTCCTTACACTATCCTCGCATTTTTGGATTCTTTTTTCATTTTGCTTTTCCGGTTGGGTGTTTTTTGCTTCCTCGCATTTCAAATCATTGACTTGATTCTTGCGCTCCTCTGGTCTGCTGTCGGGAGTCTGTATAATATTCGTTATTTCAGTCCGTGTATGCTTAATTTCTAGTTGGTTCCCCAATATAAGATCGAGGGTCTCATTAGTTTTCTTGTAGATCTCATTAAGTTTATCGGCGGCTTCTAAACAGTTCTTGAGAGACCTTAAAAGTGTGGTTCTGAACTCTATATCTTCCATTGACAATTTTGTCCTGTTTCTTTGTCTCCGCATTTTGTTATGCTTCCTTGGTGCACCCCCTAGTGGTCTTTGTTCACAGTCTTATAGTTAAATCTTGATTGTTGTAGTTAATTCCAGGGAGGGTTTGACCTCCAGGCCAAGTGGCTATGAGAATCAGCTGTGTCAGCAGTGAGAGAACTTCTGTCCTCTAGGGAGGTGCTAATCTAGCCTTTGCCTGAGGCTGTCCGGCAAATGCCTCTGTGCAGGGCTTGGGCGGGGCGGGTCGCACAGAATCAACAGGGTGGGCTGGAGAGAGCAGTTATGGCGGCTCTCAGTCCTGTCCCCAGGGGCTCTGCCTCTCTGAGTCCCAGCACCCGCTGCAAAGCTCAGAGAGAAAGCTGCACTCGCTCTGACCGAAGCCAGACAGTCCCGCTTCTCCCGTTTGAGTCTGGGTCCCTAAAGACTCGCCCGGATCTGGAGCTCAGAGTCTGCGACTCCCTCCCGATTGAAAACGCCAACCGCGCCCTCCGCCGCCAGCCCGCTCCGCGCACTCCGCACCTCAGAATTTGACTTCAGCACTGCGCCTCCTCTGAGTGTCCGTATGCGTTTCTCTTTCCTCCTAGTTGTAGGACTTCCACTCAGCCAGCGTTCCTGTGGTTCTGGGTGATGTCCCTTCCGTTTTTTGGTTTCACTTTTGAAGTAGTTGTTCAAAGCAGCAAACTCCGGCGTTAACCTATGCCGCCATCTTGGTTCTCCTGTATTTGCTTTATTATACCTTCAAACGTATTAGCAGAGTAGCACACACATGATTTATAAGTAACATACACATACAGGGGCGCATGGTAAAAAAATTAACAATATGAATGTGTGGTCACTGCTTTTGGAGGGGGGTCCTATAACATTTTTTCACATACTGGTATGTAGATGTGAAATAGGGTGTTTTGTGTGTTTTTTTTTAAATACAAGATTACCTTAACTATGCATGCTACCCACTCTTACATCTATTTTTCTTAATCTAACATTTCTTTTTTGGGAGACGATTACATTTTGGGCTGACAAAAATCTCACTTGATACTCAAAACAATTTGCTTCGTTTGGAAATTCAGAGAGGAAGGGAGAGGGAGAGAGAAACATCAGTGAGGAGAGAGAAGCACGGATGGGCTGCCTCCTGCACGCCCCCCACACCGCGGATCGAGCCCCAAACGCAGGCATGTACCCTGACCTGGTTCATAGGTCGGGGCTCAACCGCTGAGCCACACCAGGTGGGCACGATTTGCAGCTTTTAAAACAAAGCTCTGCCCTGACCGGTGTGGCTCAGTGGATAGAGGGCCGGCCTGTGGACTGAAGGGTCCCAGGTTCGATTCCGGTCAAGGGCATGTACCTGGGTTGCGGGCACATCCCCAGTAGGAGGTGTGCAGGAGGCAGCTGATGGATGTTTCTCATATGTTTCTCTCTATCCCTCTCCCTCTCCCTTTCTGTAAGAAAATCAATAAAACATATTAAAAATAAATATTTCACTGAAAAGTGTTGACGCAACAGAACTCGAGAAGCCACCAGTCGAACAGCAGAGCGGAAACGGAGAACTCGGGCCCCACGCGCGAACCTGCAGCTGCAGGAACCCGAACCCGCGCGCCTCCGGGAGCCCATCACCGAGGCCCCGCCCCCTAGGGGAGTAGGGCGTGGCCTTCCGGCCCCAGAGCGAGACGGGGTGTGGCCTCGGCCTCCCAGACCCAGGCTTAGGGGGGCGTGGCCTCCGCGCCTATCCCCGCCCACTCCCGCCGGGGGCGTGGCTTAGGCAGGGAGTGCGCGTGCGCGGTGGCCCTGGGCGAGGCCCCGCCCCTTCGCGAGCTCCCAGCGTCGCGGTCGCGTGGTGCTGTCGTCAGAGGCGCGCCGGGACCGAGCGACGGGGCCGAGCCGGTGAGTCGGGCCCTTGGGCCGGTGCGGGTGGCCGTCGCTGGGGCCGCTGACGGCCCGGGCGGGAGGGCGGGGGAGCCAGGCCTCCGTGACCCCGGTCGCCCTGCTGCCCGTCGGGGCGCGTCCTGGGCGGGCTCCGTGCAGCCCCGAGCTGGGAGCTGACGTCCCCGACCCCGCAGACTGGAGGCCGGTCCCGACCGAGCTTCCCCGAGAAGCGCCGCCGCCTCCGTAGGCAGCGAGCCTCCCGCCCATCACCCGACGCACCTGGGTTCTGGGGTCCCGGCACCGGGTGGTCTTGGGGGTCAGCCCTGCCCGATCGCGCTGAGGGGCACGTGGGGTGTTTTGGTTTTGTTTTGGGAAACGCAGAGGAGCGAGCAGTGAGTTCCGCGTGGGAAGTTGTGGGGGGAAGGCGGGGGCTTGGGGTCCTCTCGGCTCTGACGTGAGTTGGTATCGGGGGGAGGTGAGAGTGAGGACGCCCGCTGAGCGCGTGGAGCGAGCTAGTCCAATTGTATAAACTTATAACTGGGCCACTCAGCACATCCGAGAATGGTTACTTTTTTATTGTCTAGCAGCGGTTCTCAGCCTGTGGGTCGCGACCCCTTTGGCTCAGTGGAAAGCGCGTCAGCCTGGGGACCGGAGGGTCCTGGGTTCGACTGCGGGCAAGGGCAGGTACCTCGGTTGCAGGCTCATCCCCAGCCCCGGGTGGGGCCTGTGCAAAGGCAGCCCATCGATGTGTCTCTCACATCAGTGTTTCTCTGTCTCTCCCCCTCCCTTCCACGCTCCCTAAAAACCAATGGAAAAATAGCCTCTGGTGAGGATTAAAACAATAAATAAATGAAGGGGCCCGTGGTTCTCTCCCTCTGAAGAGTGGCAGGTGGCGGAGACCGGTCCCCCTGTGGTCAGGCTGGGGGAGAAGAAAACATGGGCTGGGACAGGGCGTTAGTTGATGCCGTGGGCTCCAAGGGCCGTGTGAGGGGAGCTCCTGGGACTGACCCAGGGCAAGTGTCCGGGCCACTCTGTGGTCAAGGGAAACCTCCGGGGCCCCCGTCCTGATGACACCCCCTGACTGAGACCCCTGCTGGTGCTGTTCCCACAGAGCTGCCTGGCCTGTAGCCCTTCGCCCCTGCCGAGGAGATGACCAACCAGGTAAGGCTGTGGAGGGAGGCGCAGCAGGGGGCCCTGGCAGGTGTCGGGGTGTCCAGGCACCGGCTCCCGGCTCCTGACCACGCAGGCGGCGTCCGCCCGTGCACAGCGCCAGGAGGAGCGTGCTCCCCGCGTCTCCCCATGCACAGAGGGGGCGAGGGGCTGAAAGACTGCACAAAAGCAGCAGAGAAACGAAGATCAGCAGAGAAGAGACCGTGTTTACCATAAGATCAGGGACAAGGCTAACGGGTCCTTCTCTGGGCTGTGCCCTCAGATGCAGCTGCACAAATGAAGCTGCAGAGTGCGCCCTGAGCTTCCCGGGAGCCGAGCAGGAAAAGCACGTTATTAGTCTCAGGGGAATGGAGAAGCTACACTTCCTTCTCTTTTTTTAAAATATATTTTACTGATTTCAGAGAGGAAGGGAGAGGGAGAGAGAAACATCCATGATGAGAGAGGATCATGGATCGGCTGCCTCCTGCACGCCCCACCCTGGGGATCGAGCCCACAACCAGGGCATGTGCCCCGATGGGGAATCGAACCCTGACCTCCTGGTTCATAGGTCGACCCTCAACTAGTGAGCCATGCCGGCCGGGCCAGTTTCTTTAGGAACTAATTGTTCCTAAAGATCTTGCACGAGCAGGAGTCAGGAGCGTGCAGGTCAGGGTGACAGGAAGTAGCTGCCACCGTGGTGACCGTATCTCTGGGGGCGCGGCGGTGAGGTGGGAGCCAGCAGGTGCTTCAGGGAGGGGATGCGGCACGTCTGAACTCTGACCTTGGTTTAATGTGGCTCCTGTTCTTTTCAGTACAGCATCCTCTTCAAGCAAGAGCAAGGTGAGCCGCCTGCCTGGGAAAACGGGTCGTCTCTGGTTCCTGTAGGAATTGTTGTCATGCCAACCAGACATGCCATCCCCAGTTTACTCCCTGCAGGAAAGTCAGCAGAGGCGGCCGGACACAGACACCCTGAAAAGCAAACAACAGGAAGGCAGATGGCAGGCCGGAGGGCTTCCCCGCTGCCGGGTGGCCCCCATGAGGGGGTGGCCCCCGGAGGCCGCTGCACACGGGGCCCGAGGGCGACTCCCGTTAACAGAGGGGTCGGCTTTGAGTCCAGCTCTGCCCCTTCTTAGCTTTGGAGTTCCAGGGAGCTACTAGTGTCTCTTTTTTAAAAAAATATTTTAAAAATTGATTGGAGAGAGAGAGTGAGAGAGGAGACAGAGAGAGAAAGGGAGGATAGAGAAGCCTCCACTGGCTGCCTCCTGCACGTCCCTACGCAGGACGAGTCCTCAGTCCAGGAATCCATCCAGTGACCTGGATCATGGACTGACACGCACCCCCTGAGCCCCCAGCCGGCACTGCAGGCTCCTCTGGGCCTCTGACTCCTTGTCTGTAACGTGAGGTGCCGCTCACAGCGCCTGCTCCATAGGGTTGTGGTGGCGACCAATGGAGGTGACACTCCAGGGGGATTAATGCGTCGCCAGCCCCTGACGCAGAGCACACGCGCGGCCAGGCAGCTTGTGGGGCCGCATCGGGCACGCGCTCTGGGGCCTGCGCTGTTGGCAGTCACTGCCCGCCGGCTCCCAGAGGTGCCGGGAGGGAGCGCTCGCCCAGCTGAGGGCTCTCGGGCGGTGGGCGGTGGGGAGGCTCATCTCCATCGGGTGGTGGTAGCGCCTCCCCCTGGCCGGCCTGTGCTTGGGCGGGGCTTCCTGGGAGCCTCCAGTTCCCAGTCGTCATAAGAGCTCCCTGGGAAAGCGCCTCGCAGAGCAGAGCAGGGCGGGGGCGGGGGTGTCCGCGGGAGGCGGGGACGGTGCTCGGCCCGTTCTGTGGGCGCCTTCAGCGTGGAGGCCGCCCAGGCCTTCTTAACCGGCAGCTTCCGTTCCAGCCCACGATGACGCCATCTGGTCGGTGGCCTGGGGGACCAACAAGAAGGAGAACTCGGAGACGGTGGTCACAGGGTCCCTGGACGACCTGGTGAAGGTCTGGAAGTGGTGAGCACCTCCCGGGGGACGGTTCAGGGGTGCACGTCCCGGCCCGCAGGTCGCGGTCGGGAAAGTGCTCCCTGTTTTCTAGGAAAGTGGGGCCGGGGGGTGGGGTGGGGGCAGGTGGTCTCCCAGGGACCCTGGTCTCCCCCTTCCTCCCTGTACTCGGGTGAGGCCCAAGGTGACCCTTGGCTGCCTTTGGTGCCTGGGGCTCCTCACGCCCCGGAGGCTCCATCCGCAGACACTGGTCACGCGTGGCCACGGCCCGATGCCGTGAGGAAACCGTTTCCCTGTCTCCCTTGCAGGCGTGACGAGAAGCTGGACCTGCAGTGGAGCCTGGAGGGGCACCAGCTGGGCGTGGTGTCCGTGGACATCAGCCACACGCTGCCCATCGCCGCTTCCAGCTCCCTGGACGCCCACATCCGGCTCTGGGACCTGGAGAACGGCAAGCAGATCAAGTCCATCGACGCGGGACCGGGTGAGAGTCCACTGCGGGCAGACGCGGTTCTCGGCAGGTGGCCTGGACCCAGGGCACCCCGAGGCCAGGCTCCGGGTCTGCGACTCCTGCGCTGGAGCTTGAGAGTCACGCCAGGCCCGGGGTGCAGCTGGGCTGTGAGACAGGCCAGGCCGGGGTGCAGCTGGGCTGAGAGTCATGCCAGGCTGGGGTGCAGCTGGGCTGAGAGACAGGCCAGGCCGGGGTGCAGCTGCGCTGTAAGAGTGGCCAGGCCCTGGGTGCAGCTGGGCTGAGAGACAGGCCAGGGCCGGGGTGCGGCTGGGCTGTGAGAGAGGCCAGGGCCGGGGTGCAGCTGGGCTGAGAGACAGGCCAGGCCGGGGTGCAGCTGTGCTGAGAGACAGGCCCGTCCAGGGTGCAGCTGGGCTGTGAGAGTGGCCAGGGCTGGGGTGCAGCTGGGCTGAGAGACAGGCCAGGTCCGGGGTGCAAGCTGGGCTGAGAGACAGGCCAGGGCCCGGGGTGCAGCTGGGCTGAGAGACAGGCCGGCCCGGGTGCAGCTGGGCTGAGAGACAGGCCAGGTCCCGGGGTGCAGCTGGGCTGAGAGACAGGCCAGGTCCCGGGTGCAGCTGGGCTGAGAGACAGGCCAGGCCCGGGGTGCAGCTGGGCTGAGAGACAGGCCAGGCCGGGGTGCGGCTGGGCTGAGAGACAGGCCAGGTCCGGGGTGCGGCTGGGCTGTGAGAGAGGCCAGGCCGGGGTGCGGCTGGGCTTTGAGACAGGCCAGGGCCGGGGTGCAGCTGGGCTGAGAGACAGGCCAGGCCGGGGTGCAGGCTGGGCTGAGAGACAGGCCAGGGCCCGGGGTGCAGCTGGGCTGAGAGACCAGGCCAGGCCTGTGAGACAGGCCAGGGCTGGGGTGCAGCTGGGCTGAGAGACAGGCCGGGCCCGGGGTGCAGCTGGGCTGAGAGACAGGCCGGGCCCGGGGTGCGGCTGGGCTGTGAGAGAGGCCAGGCCGGGGTGCAGCTGGGCTGTGAGAGAGGCCAGGCCGGGGTGCAGCTGGGCTGTGAGAGAGGCCAGGCCGGGGTGCAGCTGGGCTGAGAGACAGGCCAGTCCGGGGTGCAGCTGGGCTGAGAGACAGGCCAGGCCCGGGGTGCAGCTGGGCTGAGAGACAGGCCAGTCCGGGGTGCAGCTGGGCTGAGAGACAGGCCAGGCCCGGGGTGCAGCTGGGCTGAGAGACAGGCCAGGGCCGGGGTGCAGCTGGGCTGAGAGACAGGCCAGGGCCGGGGTGCAGCTGGGCTGAGAGACAGGCCAGGGCCGGGGTGCAGCTGGGCTGAGAGACAGGCCAGGCCCGGGGTGCAGCTGGGCTGAGAGACAGGCCAGGGCCGGGGGTGCGGCTGGAGGGGGAGCTTCCCCGCAGGAGGGGGCGGGGGGGCCTCCCCTCCCCTCGGGCTGCACAGCGTTCCCAGCGGCTGCTCCTGGGCCTGTCGGGCAGGACTGAGGGCGCCCCGTACGTGGTGTGGGGTGTCGTGTAGCAGCGTCGCCCCGTCCTGGTCCCTGTAAACCTGCCACATGGGGTTCCACGTACGAGTGTTCCCGGGACACCTCCCTCTGGTCACCGTCGTGCTGAGGTGACGGGTCCCTCTGCGGCACCTCCGTGTGGACTTAGGTGCCCGGTGCCGCCCTCGCCCAGTCCGCTCCCCCGGCCTCGGCCGCCACTGCTCTGCCCTGTCCTGTCATGTTGCCTTTTGGGAAACTTCACGCACGTGGAATCGCGTTCCCACACGTCCTCGCTCTTTCCTGCGTGACGGGCGAGGCGCCCGGGTGCCGAGTGACACGTGGTTTGTCCCTTGTTGTCGCTCGGCCTCCTCCCCGGGGAGGAGGGGCCACACCCGCCCATCGAGCCGCCGGGACGGGCGTCGGGCATTTCCCGGTTTCACGCTCGTTTGTTCGCGTGGAAGTCGCTTCTGGGGGCGCCTGGCGTTGGGGGGGGCGCCTGCTTTCCCTGGAGAAGCTGTGACTGGAGTGGCCGCGTTTCACATGGTGCAGCATCAGGCTCCCTCCCGCTCACCGTCCTTTCCCTTCTCTTCCTGGGCAGTGGACGCCTGGACGCTGGCCTTCTCTCCCGACTCCCAGTACCTGGCCACAGGCACGCACGTGGGGAAGGTGAACATCTTCGGGGTGGAGAGCGGGAAGAAGGAGTATTCCCTGGACACGCGCGGGAAGTTCATCCTCAGCATCGCCTACGTAAGGGGCCGCGCTCTCCTCCCTCCGACCTCGCGCCCGGATCTGTTGGGCTGCTGTGTCTCCCCGGGGGGTGGCCGGGCATCCCGCGGGACCTGCGGCCGCAGAGGCACCATGCGTGCGGGCTGCCCGTGGTCTCACGCGTCCTCGTGTCTGTGCGCAGAGCCCCGACGGGAAGTACCTGGCCAGCGGAGCCATCGACGGCATCATCAACATCTTCGACATTGCGACCGGGAAGCTGCTGCACACGCTGGAAGGTACGGCTGCTCGGCTCCCGCAGGCGGCTCTGCCGCCAGAGCCGGGGGTGGGGGTGGGGGGGTGGGGGTGGGGTGGTACCGGCCTCGCTGGTTCTCGCGGCTGCACGGGTCTCGTTCCTGTCGTGTCCGCTCTACGCCCTTGAGTAGAGGGTTCTTAGTGATGAGAGAGCAACTCCTGTTCGATGGTGGGTGCTGGGGGAGCCCTGGGCCAGGGCTGGGCCTGGAGGGAGATGGCCGCTCTGAGCCGCGTGACGAGGTCACTGGTTGAGGGGAGCTGAGGCGAAACCCTCGGGGGCAGGGCCTGGGGGACGGGACGTTTCTGGCCACGGGAGGCGGGGCCGTCTGCCCCTCTGACGGGCACTGGGGAAGGGCACTCGGCCTCGTCCAAGGGCAGGGCCGGGCGGCCGCGGGAGGACGGACGTGATCCCGGCTCACGTGACTGTGGTTCCAGGCCACGCCATGCCCATCCGCTCCCTGACCTTCTCCCCGGACTCCCAGCTCCTCGTCACGGCCTCAGATGATGGCTACATCAAGATCTACGATGTGTGAGTCGCCGCTGAGCTGGGCTCTTGTTGCTAAAGACACGTCGGGTCCCAGGGGGCGGGGAGTGTGGGGTGTCTGGAGGCTGTTCTCCTGCCGGAGGTGATTTCATTCACGCTTTACACCGTGACCGGCTGCAGCGATTAAACTTGCCTGTCTGAGGTCAGGTTAGAGACGGTCCCTCCATCCCGGCCGGCGTGGCTCAGGGGTGAGCGTCGGCCTAGAAACCAGGAGGTCATGGTTCGATTCCCAGTCAGGGCACCTGCCCGGGTAGCAGGCTCCATCCCAGTGGGGGGCGTGCAGGAGGCAGCGGTCCATGATTCTCTCTCATCATGGATGTTTCTCTCTCTCTCTCCCTTCCTCTCTGATATCAATAAATATATATATGTATATATATATTTATCTTTTTTAATATATAAGAATTGGCTGCCTCCTACACACCCCCCACTGGGGATGGAGCCTGCAACCCGGGCCTGTGCCCTTGACCGGAATCGAACCTGGGACCCTTCAGTCCACAGGCCGACGCTCTATCCACTGAGCCACACCAGCCAGGGCAGTGTGTGTGTGCGTGCACGCGCGCGTGTCTCTGTGTGTGTCTGTGTGTGTGTGTCAGTGTGTGTGTGTGTGTGTGTGTGTGTGTGTTCTCTCCAAGCCACGTGGGCGGTCAGGGCACCCGCAGGGAGGCACAGCCCGGGGGCCCCACACCCCGTCCTTGGTCTCTCCGCCTGGGAGCGGCTGCCGAGCGTGGCTCCTCCTGGGGGAGCGTCTGCGTTCTGCCCGTCACGCCCTGTGCCCGCTCTGGGCGGCATCATTAGGCTCTGGGGCGGGGCCGTGGGGCACTTGTTGTTGTGGGGGACGTGCCTCCCTGGGGCGTGTGATGGGCGCGTGCTGCCGTCGTCCGGGAGCAGGGGGGCCCGGGTAAGCGGGCAGCTGGTCACGCGCCTCCGGGACCTGTCCGAGCTGACGCCTCCGAGTCGGACCCGTCTCGTTTCAGACAACACGCCAACCTGGCGGGCACCCTGAGCGGCCACGCGTCCTGGGTGCTGAACGTGGCCTTCTGTCCGGACAACACGCACTTCGTCTCCAGGTACGCGAGTCGCCTGGCACGCGGGTGGCCTCTGCTCGCCGCGGCGTTGCCCCTTCAGGTGGTGAAGTTCGCCGCCCTTCGCGGGAGCAGGCGTGGGTTCTTCTGAACACGTAGCCCCAGCCCGTCGTTTTCCTTGTGAATCTGGGGCTCCGCCTGCAGTTGGTGAAGGGCCGGGGGCTCCTGGCGAGAACCCTGCTGGGCGGGCCGGGCAGGTCAGGGTCGGTGCCAGAGTCCGGGCTCTTTAGTCAGATTCCTCCCGTCGGACCAGCCTGAACATGTTTTCTGATACCAGCGTTCCCTCTTTTACAAAGTTCGTCGGACAAAAGCGTGAAAGTCTG